AGGGCTTGGGATTCAGTAAGTCTGGGGTGGGGCCTGAGAATTTGCATTTCTAACAAGTTCCCAGGTCCTTGCTCAAGCTGTCAGTCCAGGGCTGCACTTTGAGAATCACTAGTCTAGACTGACTCTGAATCCTGTTTTTCTAGATCTGTGATTTATTGTATCCATTATGGTTGCTAAAAAAACTCTAAAATGGCAATGACTTAACAATGAAGAAGAGCATTCTCTCCTACATAACAGAAATCCAGAGAAAGGCCATCCAACACTGATGTGGTGGTTCTGGAGTGATCAGGGACCCAGGTTCTTGTTAGATCATCTTAATGCGTGATTCCCACCGCCAGTGTCCCTCATGGTCCAAAATGGCTGCTGGAGCACCAGCTATCATGTCCTCATTGAAAGCAGAAGGTGAGAAAGGCAGACAGGAAAACAATGGCATCCTTCCAACACCTTTTGGATACACTTTCCCGAGGTCCCACAACACTTTTGCTTACATTTCTTTGGCCAGATCTTGGTCATGTGGCCATAACTAGCTACAAGAAAAGCTGAGAAACGTAATCTTTTTTGCTTTCGGCCACAATGTGCCAGCCAAAACTTAGAGTTATGTTACTAAGTAGAAAAGGGAGAATACATGGTAGGGTAATCAACTAACAGCTTCTGCCCTTATGTCCATGCCTAATCCTTCCTAAGAGTTACCATTACTATCTGTGTATTTGGCATCTGCCGTGTGTTTTCATGCCGTATATCATTTAATCCTAACAGCTCTGCAAGGCAGATAATAACATCATCTCTGTTTTTTGGATGACGGAACCAAGACTTGCAGAGATTAAGCTATGAGCCCAAGTGACAGTCACAAATGGTATAATTTGAGACCCTGCTTCCTGGGCTGCTTCTTGCCTCAGCCTCTCTCAGGGACCTGACGTCTTCCTGCTGAGCCGGCAGGGTGTCTGTTAGACATTTCTTTGTTTGTTTCTTTTTTTTTTTTTTAAGATTTTATTTATTTATTCGACAGACAGAGATCGCAAGTAGGCAGAGAGGCAGGTTGGGGGGGTGGTGGGAAGCAGGCTCCCCGCTGAGCAGAGAGCCCGATGCGGGACTCGATCTCAGGACCCTGAGACCATGACCTGAGCTGAAGGCAGAGGCTTTAACCCACTGAGCCACCCAGGCACCCTGTTAGACATTTCTAAGCCGAATGTGGGACCCCATCCTTTCTGACCTGCCGCATTCCATTGTCACCTGCATCCCCACCGCGATCCCCTCTTCTGTTGATCTAGCGGGAGACAGAGGCGTGGTTTGCTGCACAGACAAGATTGGTTCCCTACGGCCGCCGCGAAATTACCGCAAACTTCGTGGCTTAAAACAACACACATTTATTCTCATACATTCTGGAGGCTCATTCCACTGGGCCAAAAGCAAGAGTACCCGAAGGGCTGATTCCTTCTGGAAGTGCTAGGGCAGAATCCATTTCCTTGCCTTTTCCAGCTCCTGGAGGCTCTATGTTTCCCACTCTTCCCCGAATGACTCCGGACTCCTGTTTGCATTTTCACATTTCTCTCCCTCTCCTGTGTCACATCTTCTCCCTATCCCAGACCCCACCCCCCGCCTCCCTCTTGCAGGGACCCTGTTGCTGACGCTTGGGGCCCACCTGGGTCTTCGGGATCATCTTGCGCACATCAGACCCCTTCTGCCACTGAGGGTCACATGCACAGTTTGCCCAGATTAGGACGTGATGTCTTTGGGGGCTGATACCCACTCAGCCACAGGGGCTCTCTTGCTCCTCTGCTTCCTTTTCTGGTCCCCAGTTTTGCTTCCGTGGGCTGTTCCCAACCGGAACGCTGCCTGCATTTCACCTCGGGGGGTTTTCAGAGAGGCCAGAGACAGGTTCTGAAGGGCAAGGCGGTGAGTCGGAGATTTGTCTAATCAGCCCCAGCAGCCATGGCAACGGGCACGAAAACACTCAAGTGGAAAAGGAGTGGATGAGGGGGTCCTGCCCTGGAGGTGGCAGTGACCTCACCTGGACATGACGCACGCTGGACAAGCGTAAGCAGCAGGGACAGTCACCCCGAGGCAGGCTTGACAAACCCTCAGGGCTGCGGGTTTCTAGGTCACCTTGCAACCCGCCAGGTGCCTCCTAATCTCTGAGCCCCCTCTCGCCTTTCTCTAGGCTCCTGGAGGTGTGTCTTTGGCCAAATTCAAATGCTACACGTAGCAGAGTTTATGGGAGGTGCGAGGGCCGGGAGTGTTAAGCTCCATTGGGCTGGTTCTGTCCTCACTTTATTTTCCTTTCCTGCAATGATTCCCTTGTCCCTGCAACACCCACCCCATCCCACCCTCCCCCCCCCCGCCCCCAGCCGCCTTGGCTAGGTCTGCCTGCTGGGATGAGTCTGGGGTGTTGTATGTTTTGCTTTTTATTTTATTTTGCAAATGCCTCCCAACATTCCCCTCTGTGTTTAACGTCCCCCTGCCAAGTGCATGCAGTTGCCGGGCAACAAGAAGGAAGTCCCTGTGTGATTCACCCGCTGCTGCCAGTTAATTTGCTAGCTGCGTGCGTCTCCCCGGGGAAGAGGCTCCTTCTGGCCCTCGGTGAGACAGCGTGGAGGGTGGCTGCCCGGGAGGGGAAACGGGACAGGAGGAAAGTTCGCAGAACTGTGGGGCTCTTCAGGGTGTTTTCAGGTCCAAACGAAAAAGTGTCTTGGAGGGCCCGGGCTCCACCTGGGTGAGACTTACGGTTTCCCCTTGGCGGACAATCAGAGAGCCTCTCGGGACCCCAGAGCGCCTCTGCGTGGGCCACGCTGGCTGGTTTTCCGTGGGTCGGTGGCTCTCACATGCAGACCCCCCTCCCTGCAGCTCTCCTGCAGAGGAAAGCCTTCTGCGTTCTCTCTGCCCGGTCTCCCGTGAGCAGGCCCTCACTGGTACCTCGTCCCGTCTCTGACAGGGCCTTGTCTCTGCTGTCGCAGCAGCTGCACACACCCGGCCAGGGGGCTAGCCAAAGCCCACGGGGAGGACAGCACCCTGCACAGGCTAGGCTGTTAGCGACCCCGAAGGCCTGCAGGGGGTGCTGGTGGGGGCCAGTTAGCCCAGACCGCCCCCAGAATCTCCAGTGTGTGTCCCGCCGCTGTCGAGGTCCTTCTGGCCTCGTGCTTGGTCAGTGTCCCCTCTCTCCCGAGGCCTGCGAGGGCGGGGCTTGCCTGTCTGTTCTCGGAATGGTTCCACAGCGTCTCACCCGGAGTGGTCCTGGGGGATGGATGTATCTGCACGTGTCCACATTGTTCCTTGGGGGTGGACGGTGATCGTCGCCGTCCAGAGGCCTGGATTATCCGTGTCTGGGAGTAGGCCCCTTGTTTGCCTCGCTGGGCCCCATCAATCTTAAAATGGGGACGTCCCCTGAGGGCATTTGATGGCACTAACTATATTGGCCCCTCAGCAATGGGGAATCACAGGGGGTGGTGGGAAGTCAGGAAAGTACGTGGAGCCCAAGCCCGTCTTGGCTTCTTTGCCATCAGCATTCGGAAAGCAAACGTGTTAAGCTGAGTCTTCCCGTTTCCTCCAAGGGGGGGATCCGGTCCTCCAAGGGACCCCATCAGCCCTGGATAATTTCCTAATTCGTTGTTAAGGGATTTGGGAGAACAAACAGAAGTCCCTGCTCAAGTGAACATTAGGACAGGGACCAGGCCCTTGCCATCCCGTACTGAGAACACCGGCAGCCTCCGTGCCTCAGTTTTCCTGTCTATAAAGTGGGTGACCTAACACCTCCCTGCTCCCTGCGCCCAATCTCACGGACAGGGTCGTGACGGGCTGGAAAACAAGCCTGCGGTTCCTCTGGGATGGCTGTGTTCAGCGCTTTGCTTTTGTGTGTCTAAGTCAGCTCTCTGGTATAGCGGTGAGATCAGTGTGGAGGGCTCCCGGTGGGAAATCAGTGTAGGGGGCGTTCCTTGAGTGGCATAAACAGGCCTTCCTTTTTTTTTTTTTCTTCCTTCTCTGTCTCAGCACAAATAGTGATTTTCACACTGCGGGGTCTGTTCACCAGCTAGAGCGTTACGCACTAAGGACAGGAGAGTCGAGCTCACTGCGGAAAGGGCGGAGGCAGAACCTAATTCTGATGCTGTGTTTCGGTCTGCAGGCCCGGCAAGGGGGAGCGGCCAAGGGCTGCTCTGTCTCGCTCACCCTTCCCACCAGGAAGCGAGCGGGAGCCAAGCTCTGCCATCGTGACCTTGCAAAGGGCCCGGCTACGATGGGACCATCTCTTAAGAGGCAAGAGCTTGGATCTGATTAAGAGTTCTTGTTTTGGAGAATGAAGGAACTTGTGGATTTGAGAAGACGTTGAAGGAGAAAGCAAAGACCCTTGCACCGAGGAGAGAAGTCTGTGTACGGCCCCGTGTGCGCTGGACGTGACCTGCGGCCGGACGAGTCAGCATCATCGCAGACCTTGCCGTTCCTCCTCGTGGAAAGCGTTTCCTCTGCTGCGGCTGCCCCTCCGTCTCCCCTGCCCCCAGTGCCCGGAAACCGAAAGGCTTTTCCACCACACCCTCGCCGGCCCCCCAGCTCCCGCGTCTGCTGTGCCTTTGGACTCGGTAATTCGTGTTTGTTCCATTATCTTCCAGCCGGATACAGAGTGAATTGTTAACCACACTCAGGTCAAATGGGATTTTAATTTTTGTTCCTGTTCCTTCTAAAGAGGCCGATGTTTGTGTTGCTATGTGAGCAGCACCGGCGTAGAATGTCCTCTTGCTTCTTGGGGATCCGGGCCCTCGGATTCCAGAGCGATGCAGGTCAGGGCAGAAGATTTGGGACCTCAGAGGTCGGGGACCCTCGAGGGGGCTCCTGTAGGGCCGCTGGGGTCCTCCATGTCCAGCTTTCTTTGCTTGGATCCCACGCAGGTGTTTGTCTGGAAGAGCCAATAAATGAATGCTGTGGGTTCATCCCAGCTATCTTCTCTCTCTCTCTTTTTTTTTTTTTTAAATGTCATTTTGATGTATAATTGACATAGTATTCTATCCGTTTCCCAGCTGTCTTCTGTTGACACAGACGCGCCACCAGCTGTGAAGACCCCTTCTCTCAGATGGCGGTTGGGGCCCATGCCAGCGCCTGGTGCCTCATCACAGGCTGTCTAGCGACTGGAGCTGGTGTGTCTATTGTCGGCCCTCTTCACCCCCGAGGACACTCCTGACGACAGATCGGGCCCCTCGAGACACGAGTCCTGTTTGCTCCTTCCCTCCAGAGCCACCGTGCCCATGGCTGAAAACCCTTCTAGAGTCGACCTTGTCTCAGTCGCAGGACCAACAACGTCCATTTGTTCTCCTGCTAAAACAAACGGACGGCTTGCCTTTGTAGAAGGAATTAAGGCCATACACGTCGACCTTCTCCTCGTTGTAGTGATGTGTTTCTGTGACCCCGGAGTGACTTCCCTGTCTGGTCAGTGGAGCAGTGGCGTCCTTCTTGGCCTCTCAGAGTCCCCACAAAATGAGCGAGGACAGCCTCCCGAGGCCATGCCCTGCTGTTGAAATATAAGTCTTGTTTGTGGGCTTTGGTCTTCCTTGAGGTGCACACATGTCCGTCGTACCAGTTAGAGTCCTTGGGGTTTCAAGGACCAGAGACCCACTTAAATCACCTCCATTCATGTGGGTTTATTCCAAGCTGCTCTGGAAGGTAGGTAGACTGGACCAGTCTGCCCAGCCACTGCCCCGCGAGGCCTTTCTAGAAGGCTGAAGCCATTCGAGACATCCATTCTCTAGACAGTTTCCAGGAACAGCAAGAACTCTTGACGCCATGTCATTCTGATCGTCTGCTCAGCAGTAGGGTGCACTGCTCCTGATTCTAGAATTCTCCAGTGATGATGAGCTAAGAGTGCTAGCTGTCCCAGTTTTCCCCGGGCTGAGAGATGTCTGGGGACACACGACTTCCACTGATAAACTTGGGACAGTCCCGGGCAAACCAGAACAATTGGCCACCCTCCTGGGTGGCTTGATGACATTGTGTCTGCTGTGTTATCTGCCGTAGCTCGCTGATGCTCTTAAGAGGCCTGGCCAGCTGCCATCAGAGCCACAACATCTGGCCACATTGTTGACCACTGGGCAGCCTACAGATGGAGGCCGTTGGCTCAAGCACCCAGTCCTGACCACGTCAGGTGTTTCCCGGGTGGTAGGGTGGCATGATACTGAATTACAACCTGGGGACAATGAACCAGCTGAGACCACATCCTTCAGAAGAGGTGCTGTGGATAGTGGAGATGGGAGCCACGCAGGGTATCAGGGATTCCTTGCCAACACAGTCCTATTCAAAATAGGTGAAGCTCATAACCTTCCTTGGTAAGGACAGAGCAGTTCATTTGGAGACAAAAACTCCCACAGCCACTGGGAAGGGTGGGGAACCAGACTACGCCTGTCTCAGAGACATGCACGTACCACGGGAGAATGAGCCAAGAAGAAAACTGCGTCTTTGCTAGAGAGAGAGTAAGAGCTAAAATCGTCGAGATGGGTTTGTCTAGGGAGCGAAGGAGTTGGCTGGAGAACCTCCTGAAATTCCTTTGAACTCTAGGATTCTTTGAAATATGAAGGGCGTGTCAGTGGGACCTAAGTGTGTGCTTTCCCTCCAAAGATCACCTTCGAGTTCCCCTCCCGATTGTGTCGAATGGGACTTCTCAGCTCCCTCTTCCCTCTCCAGACACTGACTTTATCTGGGATAAGGGAGCGGAACTTGGTGGTCGTGGTCGTGGGCGGTGGAGGAGGATGGGTTGTGCGTGCCCAACTTTTGGTGTTCTTGACAAGTAAGAACAATCTGAAGGCAAATTACGGGTTCTTTTCGGGTTAGTGAAAGCCAGGCTCTCGGGATTGCATGCCATCCCGAAGCTGTTGCTTCTTGTCAGGGGATCAGGCCTCCATCTTTTCTGCTGAAAGACGGGCGTGAGCGTCTGTGGTGCTGGAACACGAGACTGCGGCTCGTCCTGCCCCCCCCCCCCCACACTGTGACCACACAGGGGGTCATTGCCTGCTAAGGTAGACACGTGCATGCAAACATCAAGAAACCTGATTCTCATTACCCCTGTGCAAAGATTGAGATCCCCCATGCACCCGAGGCTTTGCCCCTGTTCTGACTCTGCGCCTTTGCTGCCGGTAAAGGAAGGCTAGCCCAGCGCGTTGGGCACTGCTTTTCTTTTTAAAAAGATGAATTCATTTCAGACGTTCCCTTCATTCATGGCCCACGTACGGTCTTTGATTCCAGAAGTCTCACTGTTGTGCCAAAGGCAACAATCTCCTCTTCCTCTCTCTTCCGGTCTTCTCACCCGCATAGGACTCCAGAATCCCAGAGTTCAAGGTGGTCTAAAAGCATCATGTTTTTCTAGATTTACCTCTGACTGAGGCAGGAATCATCTGACGAGGGATCGCCCAGGCCTGGGGGAGGCAGCGTTTTTGGCAAGCGGGGGAGGGACGAGAGAGGGTGAGAGGGGGGATGATATTCTGCCCCGTAGGGGAAGCAGTAGGATTGTGAGGAACAGTTCGTGGGTTGCCTAGAGACCACGAACGTCAACTTCCTAATGAGATTCTGAGGCAGGTGCGCTGGCCCTGCCCCCCACCCCAGCGTGTATCGGTCTCTTACTTCTGGATCCAGGGTGACTTCTGCTGATAAAAAGCACGGAGTGGGGAGATGAGGAAATCTGAGATTTTGTCTCCGAAAGCCCCTCGTCTTCGTTCCTTCCCCGTAAAACGGAGGAGTCGGGCCACGTGATCCCTGAAGCCTCTTGGGTCTCTGACTGCCGCAACGCCGTCATCGTTCCCTGAGCCTGTGACCTGAAGCTTTGCTGGGTTTTGCTCCATGTGCGAAGAGTAAATCGGACGTTGCCTAAGGTATGGGGGAAAGGCATGTCATCTGTGTGCTGAGCAGGCTCCTCTTACTCCAATCCGTTATGAACGTAACCTCTAGTTAGGGCCCTGTCCCGGGATTTTGCTCAGGCTTTCCTGTGAGCTCTTCCCACGGCATCGAAGCTTTACCCCACAGGGACCTGTTATCCTCTTCAAAGGGTCCCCCAAACCCCAGTGTTGATGGAGAAATACAAGGTTCTAATGGTGAAGTATGGTCCTCTGCTCAGGGGAATGTGGTTTACAGGGCATACGGGTGACCTTGGGAATGGCCACTGACCTTGGACAAGACCCTCGCGTGAGGCTGGTGGGAAGCAGGGCTGGGTCCCCCTGCCTCTGCTTCTGAGTAAGACCTTCCATGATCAGGCTGGCAAGAGCTCTGAACCACAGGGTCTGGAAGTCTGTCCTCTAGTCCTACCTTAACCTCAGCCCCAAGGCTCTTTTCTGTGGTCTCCGTTTTCTCACCCACAAACTGGGAGAGGGAAGCAGAAGTGGGCGGTGCAGGTGATCCTCTAGGATCCCTCCCATGTGTCAAGTTCTCAGCCTCGCCTGACCCCGCTGAGGCCTGCCTGTTCTCTGACAAGTAGCTCTTCTCCCTTTGCCTTCGGCGGCACAAGCCGAAAGCAGGGCTGTCCCGGGAAGTCCATTACCAAAGAATACTTCAAAGCTGTTTGCACTCGTCAGTCGCACTGAACTTGAGTTTGTTGAGGGAGAAGGCAAATAGACATAGAGACTGATGGCAGACACGGGGAAGGAGCTGCTCTCTGCGCGGGGTGACCGAGGGGGAGGGGAGCTCCTATCGTTCTGACCAATGAATAAAAACCGGGGGCTCTGCGTGGCTACAACTGGAGGGGATTTATGAGTTTGCTTAGCGAAAGGCAAATATTAAGTCTTAAGTTGACCCGTCCTGGGACCTGCCTCTTGGCTTTTGTATGCCGTCCGGCACCGATCACTGTGTACTTCAGGTTATCAAGTTCTGTCAAAGCGTTTTGGTTGTGTGGTTTTTTGTTGTTTTTTTTTTTAATTGTTTTCCATGTCCTTCTCCTTTCCTCCCTCCTTTGCCTGCCTCCCCCTGCTATTACTGCCACTCAGGGTTGGATTTTAAAGAGATAAGGAAGGCAGAGTGTGGAAGACACGTTGTCACGTTGTCCTGTCCACAGAGCTGGCTGCATTCAGGGCTTCCGCTGGCTTCGGAATGGCCCACCTGCCAGGGTGGAGGCTGGGGACCAGGTGGTCCTCGTGGGTCCCCCTCTGCCCTTGGCCCCGAGCATAAATCTGGGCATTGGAAAAAGATAGGCATCACCTGTTTAGTTGTAACTTTTCCTTCCTATGTGACTGTTGGCGCTGAACAGTGGCTGGTGACCTCAGCCAGATGTCCTGCAGGATGAGCCACTGAAGATAGTGCCAGGAACGCTACCTGGGGTCTGACCAGGGCTGGTCACCATCCAGGGAGCGAAATGTCCAGACCAAAGGGGCTGCACAGGCACCTGGTCTCCAGTTTCCACGTATGAGCTGCAATGAAGTTAAACTACATGGAATTTGTGTGTGTGTGTGTGTGTGTGTGTGTGTGTGTGTGTGTTTTCTAGCAGCAATTTATTAACCAAATGTAAGATAAACAGAAGAAAGTCATTTAGATCTTTGATTTTCTTTTTTTTTTTAATTTTTTATTTCTTTTCAGCGTAACAGTATTCATTGTTTTTGCACCGCATCCAGTGCTCCATGCAGTCCGTGCCCTCTCTAATACCCACCACCTGGTTCCCCCAACCTCCCACCCCCCGCCCCTTCAAACCCCACAGATTGTTCTTCAGAGTCCATAGTCTCTCATGGTTCACCTCCCCTTCCAATTGAATGTTTTTAAAAAATATTTAATTTATTTTTTTGACAGTCGGAGAGAAAGCGCAAGCAGGGGGAGTGGCAGGCAGAGGGAGAGGGAGAAGGAGGCTCTCCACCAAGCAGGGAGCCCGATGCGGGCCTTGATCCCAGGACCCTGGGATCCTGACCTGAGCCAAAGGCAGCCGCTTAACTGACTGAGCCACCCAGGCGCCCCTACATGGAACATTCTTTACTCCTTGCCTCAAGCGTCCTCAGTGCAAAGCCAGTCTGTCTTGAGCACTGCAGTTCCTGGGGTCTCAGACCTCATGGGTGGGGCTTGCTAATACCCACCACTATGGGGTCTGGCCCACAGGGCACCCTAAGTGCTTGGTGACCTTGGCAACGGTCCACAGAGGGTGCACCTTAC